ATGCATATGTATGTGTGTGTGTTTGCGTGTGTCCAAGTCTACCGCTGTTGCCAGCATCTATCGAGGACGTGGCTATGGGGAGTTATATGACATGCATGATGTATCTACACAAAAAATTTTAATGTTACCTCATTACATTGTGTGCCAAAATGTACAGTCAGACATCCCCCAAGGACAAGTAAGCTAAATACATGTGCATGCTTGCAAGTTTGTTTTTCATCACAGTTTTGAACTCATTGTATTCAAGTAGAATAAAGTCATACTTCATCAGGGTATTTGCTCAGTGCGCCACCACAAATAGACATAAACAGTGAAAGTATCTGTGACAAGTTAATACAACTTGGACCCTTATAAAATTTGAAAACTTATTTCGTAATCAACACTGTCATGAACAATAATGCAATCATAATAGTTTCTGCACGCACTGCACAGATTACGGTTACTGTTGCTGAATTATTGCAATGATCTGAACACAAGGAAGGAAAGACAAATTAAGCTACCACACATTATTATAAACCATAATGAAGTGCATACATTTTAAATTATACTACAAAAAGCAACTTCCATCATTTACATAGTTTGATTTTCAGCCATTTATGTCCGCAGCAAAATGTATGAATTAAAAGGTATATTTTAGATTTTGAAACTTTACAAATGAGAAAAAATTTAAGAATAAATGGTCCATCTTGTGAACACGACAGTTAGTTAGTTTTTTTGTTTTGCCTTTGAGACAAATTTAGCTAGCTTTAAGACACCGCTATTAAACAACCATTTACATTTTTGATCGTTTGTGTACCAGGCTGTTTCAGGGTTAAGTTGAGCCATTTTGAGAAAGACACTCTAAATTCATCATAGTATGCGCGAAATATAGTATGGACTTCTTCTAGATCATGCAGTCGTACTATTTGACTCTTCACCTAAAATAAAATCTACTGTAAGGAGTTCACTCTTAAGTTACTGTTTATTTTCAGAATCCGTGTAAACCTTTGGTGTTTATTTTACTGTTGAATAATCTGCGGTGAGCACTGTCCTTTTTAACGCCCACGTAAAAATATAATTGTCTGACCTAATGTGCCTCTGCCAGTATATAGTATTTAAGTTTAGGGGACAATCTATTAAAAATGTTTTAATGCTCTACTTAAGGTGCTTTTAAATTTACGACCACATGAATTTGAGCTCGTTGCTAAATTAAAGGTTTAGTAAAGTAAAATAAAATACAGTGTGTCTATGACTTAGCTGTTCAACTATGAACTGACAGTATCCATGTCTGCCTGTTTTTAAGGGAGTTCATGCAAACTTAAATAAAAAACATTATAAGGAATAAAGTTTTCAGTTTCATTTTAGCAGCGACAATAAACCATGAACTATCAAACCAAGCAGTGCATCAATATATTTTGTGTTAAGCTTATTGCTATTTAAGGAAAAATCTACACTAAAAGCTATAGATAAAACAGCTGTTGTATTAGTGAAGCACTCTGCATTCATGGGTGCATTCAGGGTCTAAACATCACCACCAAAATATTTTTGGGGAGAGTGAGTGAAAACCAGTGAGCCAAAACACACTTCCAATAAAGGCTAAAGACATCAGATTGCCTTTGAGGTTTTCACTGAAGGTAAAAACTGGGAAAACACTACTTGACATCAAATGTAATGATGAAAGCATTAAAGTTCCATAAATAAGAGTTAGACCAAAGGTATAATAAAAATGTGTTGTAGTAACATGGAAACTGGAGTATAGTTATTACTTAATTAAGTTACATTGTGCTTCGTGTCAGGAAGAAACACAGGATCACCAGTGAAAGATCAACATTAAGTTCTAATAGGATGTACATCACAGTCATCTAGTAAAAATATATATCATGTCCATAATAATGAAGAATAAATATAAAAAGATCAAGAACAGTTATCCCAACAGTAGCTTAATTCAACAGTTATTTAGAATGCGGTTTTAGCACCACATTAGCTCCAGGCAGCTAATATAGGGGCTAGCTTTGTTGGCAGGAAGATCGTAAGAAAACTAAATTTATACCAAATCAACAATCACAAAACAGCTGCAATGAAAGGGTAGCTCCAGATAATGCTCCAACAGTGGCATTTGATGAGTAGATAAAAGATGCCTGCCAGTATTTGTTTGGACACAGATCTGAAAAAATGTTGCTATAACAATGTCAGATAAGCTGCTATGGAACTGTGTCAGTAGTGGTTGATGCTAGCAACGGAACAACTGAAACCAATTGCTGCTGGGAAAACAAAATGTATGAAATGATACAATGAAGTAGAAGTGGAGGACTGTTTTACTGTTGTACAGTAACTTTCAGAATACACATCTAATCATAAACTGATGATTTATAATAGTGAAAGTATATCTGAGGACCTAATTTCTTTTTAATGCCCGTTTTTGTACTCCTTGGCCTGCGATGTGTTTGATGTTTATGAAGGAGAGCATGCAGAGTGTGACACAAACCAGAGGGAAGAAATGAACAACAATGAGAGAAGAGAAGCAAGAGGGAGGAGGGCAGATGTAGGTGTAGATAGAGATATAGTTTTGTGTAGCTCAGTGGACACAGCGCAAGTCATCACTGAAGTCACGCATGCTGAAAGTAATGCACTCATGCAACCAGTGAAATATGTGTGACATGAAACTTTGGTGGCATCACATATGAAAGGTTTGATACTGTTAGTAATGTGATGTAATACTGTTTTATATCTAATATGAAAGAGATACAGAGATCACACCAAATTGGTATATAATTAGTAGGATACTAGTACTATATACTGTTATAAAGTATCAGTCACTACAAACTTTCTACAACAATTTAACAACAATTAAGCCTAAAAGGTGTGTTTATGTGGATTATCACTTTATGCTGCACCTTTTGCTATGAAAACATACAATATAATGATTTGCCTGCCTTCTCTTTCATATTTATTTCCTGTAATAAAATAATCAGTTACAATGAATTGCTAACAAGTACGGTACAATTATTCCCTGAAACGTCTGAGCTTCCACTTGGTTGTTGAGTCACTACTAGTATCCCACAGATGACATTGCCAGGTGCTGACATTTCTGGCTGAGGATGTTAACAGAAACACCATGGTGACTCACACCTAAACACATTTTCATTTGTCTCAACAGTGGAGTACGATGCCACAAGTGAGCAAAAACTGCACCCATTTGCTGTATCATTTCAGAAATACTTCAGTGTTCATGTCCACTACAGGCCATCGTAGGCTATGTCAGACTTGTAGCAGTTTCTTGTTTGCAGGCATCATTGATTACGTATTACCTCTTTGAGATAAGCTTTCAATAAATACAGGACCCCCTTTTAAAAGAGACTGTGTCTCGATGGGACTTTTCCTGTTTAAATAAGGGTTTATATATAACAAATGAACAGGTGATTTGTGCTAATAAATTATGTATATTAATTTAGCTGTAAATCCTGACAAAATCCAGGGTATTACGATGCTGTTAGAAGAACTGACTTTTTTCTCTTTACTGGACACTTGTACTGTAAAACCACAGTTTATCCTTCAAGGTGTGCGTGGCCTCAGTATGGTTATAATTTAGTTATTTTGACGCTACAGAGCCAGTGTGACTCACTGCCGACTGACATCCTACGATGTTTTTCTGACTCAGTCCCAAGAGAGACAGTGAGGGGTGTGTGTGTGTGTGTGTGTGTGTGTGTGTGTGCGCGCGCGTTTGTGTGTGTGTGTGTGTGTGTGTGTGTGTACATTTATGTTTGCCAGCATGTGTGTGTTTCTGGCAGCATATGCAGGAGCTCCTAAGCCTGTCTTTTATTTCTCAGACTGGCAAGCTACAACAGATTTTTCCAACCCCCCCTACTGCACACGCGCACACACGCGCACACACACACACACACACACACACTCACTTACATGAACATGGCCAATTACATGTCTTTCTTCTCTCTCTACACTCACTGTCCCTTCCCTGACTCCCATCTGTCTTTCCATGAGACTCTTGATCCATCCTCTTTTCTTTCCCTCTTTATTTCTCTGCATCTTTGCCTGGATTTAATTTTAAATTCTATCAATTTATTCAGTAATTCTATTAGTATACAAAACGCCACTGAAATATGTTTGATTGTGAACTGCTGGTGTTGACCACATCATACTATTCTTATTTTTTTCTATCTTCTTTGACTATGGATGTGAGGGAATAATTAGCCAAAGCATGAATAAAGATGGTCATCATTAGAAAAAGCTTGTCACTGCTTGATTCATTCTGTCAGGACAAGTTATTTGTTGCAGTGTGTGTTGCTCCTCATTATATGCAGTTTGAGTATAAGAGTTATGAACAGTCTCCTGTATGTGGCTGACCTTGGCCGATGCAGCAACAGGAAATATTGTTGTGAAGGTGGCCCTGCCTTGAGTTTAAGTGGAGGGGAAGCCAAACTGGCTGTGAGTGTCTGTCTCCTAGGAGCTCTTAGCGCCTCATGTATTATTTGAAAGCCATACATTTGTCCGAGGCCTTTCACTGCCTCACTGGGCTAATATGAGTTAAGTTTAATGGAACTTTTTGCACTTTTTCAGTGCACGCACACACACACACACACACACACACACACACACACACACACACACACACACACACACACACACACACACACACACACACACACACAAATGTAGGAGCTGTCAACCTTCATCACTAATGCCACTTGGGATCCACTCACAATATCCGCCTGTATGCATTTAGCCTCGTTCCTCTCACTCTCACTTTAAGTAACCGCGTGCAAAAAAAAAAAGGTAATCAGGACAAAGAGTGATATTCTCTTTTAGGTCAGGTAACCAAAGTTAAAAATAAGAATGGGACGCTTGATATGAGTCTTTACAGTTGTTGGTTGAATCATTTTGACCTCCCACAGAATAAGGCGCTCTAAACATGAAAAATAGCTTTTGCTAAAAAAGCATGCCGTCTCTAAAGTGTCATTCAGTAAACCTAACGGCCTCTTTTTGTTTTCCCTCACTTTCTGCAGGTCTGTCAACAGCCAAGAGGAAGTTTGCTGACTCGCTCAACGAATTTAAATTCCAGTGTATTGGAGACGCCGAGACAGATGATGAGATATGCATAGGTGAGCTTGCTGATATGAAATCCAATATAGCCTGTAAATAGACGGTCGACAATGCTCTCTCATTATAGTCGCTATAGTCATATCAGTACTGTCTCTGAGGCCAGCTTGGTTTTCAGTGCTGTTATACAGGAAGCCATAACAATCAGTCTCAAATTATGCATCTGCCCTGAATCTGCCCATTCATTTTTTAGCACAAAGTTTATTCTTCGATGAATGCCATCAAGAGGAAATTATTTGCAAATTGTGAAAAGTCATATCAGTACAGTAACTGCCAGGCCATTCTGTGACTTTGGTGCATGATGAAAGATTTAAATACCTCACATTTAAATCCTTTACAGCATCTAATGAACAGTTTAGTGGTAGTGCAACAAGAGTACATTGGCAGAAAAACTAAATACTTGACCGATCATTTGTCTTGTGATTTTAATTAAGTCCTTTTGGTGTTGTGTCATATTGTCATCTTTCTTTTATATAAGTATTATTTCATTTCCATGTTTTCACTGGATTTGGGGAAAACACATAGAAGCTAGTGAAGCTAGTCAAATTGTGCAAAAGCCTAGTCCTTATTTTTCACCTTTGTTCGTCTGTTCTCATTGTAACATTCAATGTTATAAAACAGTGATTGTGAAACAATCAATTGGTAGTTTTTGTCCAGTGGCATCAGGAGCATCTGTTGTGCAGATAACTCAAGATCAACAGCCAATGTTATAAATGTAATGCTGAGTTAAACCTAATAAACATATTGCTGTACACAAGAATATTGTGTAAAAGATTGCTGTGAAACATACAGCAGTCACCACACCCTCTCATGCCGCCTGGCTCTGTCTGTGCAGGCCGCAGCTTCTCACTGGCCTGACCCACCCACTGCTGTTGTTTAACTAACCCAAGCTATCTTTCCTGAACAGCTTGCTGCTCAAGTGGGCTGCACCACGGCACTGTTGTTTTTAAGATATTCATAGTCTCGTCAAAACTCATTTCTTCTCTCCGATACAATGATGATTTAATATCAATTTATGATTTTAATTTTATTTATTGAGCACTTTTCAAGCAGTGAGCAGAAAGTGCTTTCCAAGGTCAGACAATTACATAAGGGGTAATTGCAAGAGGTAAATAATGAAGCATACATACATTAGTACATACATATGTTACGTATTTAAATAATGTATTTATGTAATTAAATAAAATTTGAAATGTAAATAACTTTCCTTAATTAAACAGAAGTTATCTTATACATGAATGTAAAAATAGCCTCTGATGATTTTATCTCTTGTACTTCTACTTCATACCTCCTTGTTGTTCTCTCAGTATCACATTTTTTAAATTCTACGTGATTGATTAAGAATGTGTGTCTGAGGTTACTGAAAGGTTTGACTTCATTTTATGAGCTTTATTAAAGGATTGGACTATTTTTCAATGCATTCCTTGCATAGTCCTGAGATTCTGTTCCTTTATAGTTGAATCTAACTTCCAAGAACCAAATCCTGTAAAGTCTCATGTTGGAAAGCAGAGTGAGTGTAAGTGTGTGCCTGTGTGTTATGTGATAATTAAGGAACAAACTTGAGCTCCACTGTCTATGTGCGTGTGTGTGTGTGTGTGTGTGTGTGTGTGTGTGTGTGTGAGAAGTTGGACAGGGACAGAGGCAACTGAAGTGGAAACTCTGACCCAAAACAATGTAGCCATGGCTTGCCTGCCAAGCAGGGAAACAAGCACTGAGCTGTGCTCACTGTGAAAGCACTATAGAAACAAACCATATAAATTGCGGTTTCATTTCCAGTTAATTACTCTGCTGTGTCATGAGTTTCGAAAAAATTGTTAGACATCCAAGAGCAGAAACAAAGCCTCATCCCCGCCACCTCGTACCAACTTTCTTCTTCAGACGCTCTCTCTGTTTCTCTCTGTATTTGCCTGTACTTGTGTCTCTCATCATCACTATTGAAAATACCAGCTTTCTCTCTACCCCTCTGCCTCTCTGTCCAATTATCTCTTGTCTTTTATGTCTGTCTCTCTCTCTACCAACATGAATGTCCTTAGCCAAGTCTCTTCAGGAGTTTGCTGCAGTCCTACAGAACCTGGAGGATGAGAGAACACGTATGGTGAGTAGCCTTCCTTACAATTAAGGAGTACTATAGGTGGTTGATGGGAGGGAGTGGAAGCTGTGTTATTGCATTACTCAGCAAATGCTTTGACGCCTCTAGTCAAATGGATTTAGAGGACAGGTTATTAATTTTTAGAATCTTGTAACGTAAAACATTTTGTCCTTTTTCATTCCTACACAATGTTGTCATGTCTGGCATCATATAGTGTAATATTCACAAATAGGCTTTAGGTTTGGCTTGTGTTCCCCTATGACCCAGGGAACTATGCTGAACCCCTAAATTCAGAGGTCTATGATGGTTTCAGTTTGCTAATAAGTGTTATCATTATAATTTAAAAGAAAATTATGTGAGTAACATTGTAATTTTAAAGATTTATGTAATACAGTAATATGTACTTGCTTTTTGTGGTGTGTGCGTGCGCGCCCCCAGATTGAGAATGCCAGCGATGTGCTGATTATGCCACTGGAGCGGTTCAGGAAAGAACAGATCAGTGCAGCCAAGGTAAGCAGGCGACAGTGACCAGCCGCAGGACTGGTGATGCACATGTACTGTTCATCAGTATTGATCTGCTGGCAGTGAATCATAAATCAGTAAATCAATGAAATCCTTTCAGTGCTTCTGCACTGTTAGAATGTCACTGGCAGACACAACACCACTCAAAACATATAGTTGATAGTTAAATAGTCTACAGTGGATCCTCAAATGTGATTCATCCAATCAGATTTTGGATCTCGGCACACTGGATGTGGTAATTGATGTGCGACCTCTGACATTTTAACTGCAGGTGAAAAGCTTGCAGCCTCAGCCACATCTGTACCTTCACATCACCCTTTTGACATTATGCTGCAGTTTCTTATTTGCTAATACTGGAGAGTGTCTTTATTTTATTTATACATCTAGGTTAAATGACCCATATAGTTTGCAGTCACCGGATTCTTGTCTATGTAATTTTCCTTGAAATGATTTGATCAAAGCAGCGCTAGAAAAATGGCTCTTATTAAAACTAGTGGCACATATTAAAGTTCCAGTGAGATCTTCCTAAAGGCAGGATAATTACAGTATTTCCTTGAAAGTTAATAGGGATGTTCCATATACTGTAATATAAAGTATATCACTTGTCATTTTGGCATACTGTCTTCTTTTATATTCAGTGATCATAATTTTATACACACTGAATTAAATTAAAGGTTTTTTTTGTATCATGGCATGGTTAGTTTTCATTCTACCTATATTGCAGACTTGTTGGTGTTAAAGAAACCTTAAATGCTCTATTGTGAAGTTCACCAGTTGCCACACATTGGCCTTTCACTAAGAGAATTTGGGAAAGTCCTTTTAAGACAGGCTTGAAATGCATATCTATAGTATATAGATAATATTTACTGCATGTCTCAAGGTCTCCCTCCTCTTCTCAAGGTCTGAACTATCACTACATGGCCTGGATAGGAGATTAGAGGAATACATAATCCTGCCATAAATCACTGATTCCTACTGGGGGGTCTCCTAGGCCAGCATGGCTCCCTCATGGCATGGCCGGTGTTGTTTTAGTGTTTCAGTGTGTTTAAATCTTTTTGTACCTGTCCCTGACTGAATGTACAGGGGGGTATGGAAACACTGAACATAAAAAAAAGTGAGCACATTGGTAAACAGGACGATGTTAACTTTGCACTGTAGACGTTTAACATTCTACAATACTCGGATAAGTACTATACTTTACATTTTATGGTAATCCCTTACCCCATGAAATAAATATGCATGTTGGAGTGTTCAAATCTTCTTACAGCAGGTCATGGTGCACTTATGCTGTCATTGGCCATAGGACATTGATGAGTAGCCACAGGGGTTCCCCTGATACATGCACTTTTATTATTAGTGTGTGCTCTGCTAATCCACCCCTTTACAGCAGGTCATTGTTTGATTGTGCCATGGTGGCCAGATTAAGAAGTGAATGCATAATCTGTGCAGTTAGGTCACCATGAGCGATGTACTAATCCCAGTTTAGCCCTAAAAGACCCGACAGCATCTTCCCTTGACACAGTTTTACCTTGTCCTAAAGCCTCCAGAGCCAGCAGTCCTCTAACACAAGAGGAGTTTTAGGACAAGTACAGTGAGTATGTTGTGTATTATATAAAAGTTTATTTAAAGAAGACTGAGGTTTTCGCAGTGTAATTCATGCAAATCATTTGTATAAAAACAAATACTACTGCTGCAATGATTTTGGAGAGGCGTTAATGGTGTCATGAACTGGGTCCAACTGTGAAGAATTGCCTAAATAAACACACACATGAGCTAAATTAATTATTTATATTATTAAAAATCATATGTCATTTTTTTTGCTTTCAATTATGCAGAGTTAGAGAATAATGAGATTCTGATGTGGCCATTTTGATGATTACTGTGTGCATCGACATTCACCAGTCATTCTGTGAATTTAAATAACAACTTTTTTAAGTTGACACATTTACACTTGATCAGAGCGCCACTGTTAACCATGCTGTAGTGTTTCAGGCTAAGCCCAATGCAAGGCACAGCAGGCACTGCCTCTGTTAAGAATACGTTTAATGATACACTGCTAGTGAACTTTGGTACTGTGGTGAACTAAAAAAAAAAATGCACCATTGAAGTGAATGTTTACACAAAAGTTTCTTGCCATGTGCTGTTTGCAGAAACAGGCATGGAGTGATATGCATAGGTTGGCTTAATGTTTCAGTGTGACATCCTAGTAATTGTTGATATGACAGAGGAGTGTAGCTGTGAGAGTCTTATGGCACCACATGATCCATATCAAAACATTTCATGTACTTTAATCTTCTTGGAAATTGAAGAGGAAAATCATCACTTAGCAATCATACTGGGAGGAGACTGCCACCTCCTGGCTGAGGATGGAAGTAAATTAAACCAATGTGATTGTTAAACATGAAACACCTCATTTATACTGGCTGTGTACTTCGTCAGACAGTCAAGCTCGCTTCAGTTGGTTATTTAAATGTATTTTTAATCAAAGTTATGTTGTGAAAATTGTATTAAGGGACAAACAGGAGAGGGTTGCAGCAGGGATGTTTTCCACAGTGAATATGAAAAAGTCATAGAGGGAGTCTAAACAGGCCTTGTTGTTTAGAGGAATGTTCATCTCTGATGCGTTATGCAGCTGCTGTCCATTCCTCCCTCTGGCCCTGAGGACTGTTCTTGCTGTTTAAACTGGCTTGACAATGAAGCACCTGTGTCATGTGACTGCAACAAAGGTTGACATCATCTGCTTGTCAGAGTTCAGACTGACGAGGCATTATTTTTTAAGAGGATTTGGAAAAACAAATTTACATGAATACAAATAACCAGACAGGAGAACCATTAAACGGCACAGCTCACTGATTTACAACATTCACCCAAATTGACCTTTTCCACAGCCGACATTTTGACTTATAGTCATGGTAGGACAAGCAAGGTGTTACTGATAACATTAACGGTGGCTCTGTTTTAATTCAAGTGTACCAGTAAGTCAAGACAGTGTGACAGTGAGCCAGCAAGAACAATAATGGCTAAATGGAATTCAGCCATCATTATTTTTTTTACAATTGTTTAATACATTTACCTGACGCTTTTATCCAAAGTGACTTATAATTGGTAGCTATGTCAGAGGTTGAGATTGAACTCGGGTCTCTCACACCAAAGGCAGGCATCTTAACCATTGCGCCATCACCACCCCGTAATATAACCACAGATAATACAATACAGCACCATCTCTGATGTTTGGCAAATTAGGATAGTCTTACAGAATACACTATATCGCCATATTCTGACATCAGTAAAATTAAGATGAAAATAAATAATAGGCAACAGAAGTTTGGCTCACTGGTTTCACGTGTGCACTGGTTTAACTGGTATTAAACCAATTACACCACAGTTTCTCGTCTTCTCACAGCTTGTTTTGTTCTACCAACAGACCAAAACTCCAAAATGTACAATTTACAGTGGCATAAAACAGAGACGCAGCAGCCTCACATTTGACAATGTGGAACCAGTGAAGGCTTGGCTTTTTTTCCCTTTGATAAATCACTTAAATAATTAACTCAAATGTTGATTGTTGATTATTTGACATGGTAACACACAAATATTCTGAATCTGCTAGTCTGCACAGTGTTTTGTAGGTTAATTCTGAAGCTCCAGCTCGGTCATGTCATGACTTTGAGATAAAGAAATGCAATAATGTTAACAAGCCAGGGCAGATGTACAGTAATAATACCCCAGGGCCTCTCTGTCATAGGGAGGCCCACCCTGATCTGCCCTTCCGCTGTTTTTGTGCTCCCTTCTCTGCTCTTCTCCTCACTGTCTCTCTTTACCATATCTATCTCCCCTGTCTGCTGGCTTGAATTAGATTCAAGCTGAATGAAAAACGTGACCATTAGAACATGGTCAGAAAAAAAACGGGTGTGTTTTTTTTCTTTTTCCCTTTTTGGGTCTGTTGATCTTGTTGGACACTTTAAAGTTTTTCTCAGTATTTTCCAGTCCAGCAACCTTAAGAAACACACACCCTGCTCAATCTGTCCCTGGTTTACCATCTATCCATCTGACTGTCTCTTATGTCAGTGATCTCAGCTGTGATGAAACAGTCTGTTGTTTAATAAGCAGCTGTGCTCCCCGGAGGAACAATTTCATACTGGACTCCCTGAAAAGTGGAAAATATCATGTGAAAGCTAACAGAAATTCACATTAAATGAAGTTTGCCTTGCTCTCTGTTCTCCAACCAGCAGCTCAGTCAGTTTTAGGCTGTGGTTGATTGCAGATGGTAGATCAAATTACTTGTAGAGACCATGTTAATATGACGAGAATTAAGGCGCACAGGAGTTGAGTTAGCTGAGATAAAGCTTGATTGTTCTGTCTATCACCCAAAATAAAAGTTAATAATTTTTTATCTGTTACAGGAAGCCAAGAAAAAATATGACAAAGAGACAGAGAAGTATTGTGCAGTGTTGGAGAAGCACCTTAGCCTTTCAGCGAAGAAGAAAGAGTCACATCTACATGAGGTAAGATGTTGTGTCAAAGTTGACATCTCTTTTCTTTCTCCCACCTGATTGGTAATGTTTGTCTTTTTTTATCCAATGAATATCAGTCTGTTCTTAACTTGCTTCTCCGTTATAGGCAGACAACCAGGTAGATAATGTACGGCAGCATTTCTACGAGGTTTCGCTGGAGTACGTCTTCAAGGTGCAGGAGGTCCAAGAGCGGAAGATGTTTGACTTTGTGGAGCCTGTAAGATTGCACTTGTTTTTTTGTTATTTTTTCTTTTACGGAGTATGCCTGTTTAAACTCTTCTTTCCCCCAAAGTTGCTGTATTACACTTACTCACTTTGATATATCCACACCCAGCAGCTGCTCACTACAGTCACAGTCTTCTGTTGTTGCCTGCTGGTTTTGGTACCTCAGTGGTAGTTTCTGAGAAAATAAATAAATTTGTTGCACACACACCACACAAACCTGACTTTAAACTTATTGGGAAAGTACAAAATATGTATATTTTACTGCCTCAGTTTTGTCTTTTTTGGTACATACATAGTTGTAAATTCTCTTAACTTCTTCTTCTATGAATCTGCTAAATAAAATGTCCACTTATTCGCCTCTTCCTCCCGTTCCTGTTCCTCCTCCTCCTCCACTCAATTTTCCCCTGCCTTCTGTACTTTGTCCTCCTTCTGAACATTTACTCTTAAATGCTTTCCTCCTCTACATTCTTATATTTCCACTCTTTCCACATATCCTTTTCCTCCTTGTCTTCTCACACTACTGCATGTATCTTCCTCATCTACATTTCCTTGTCCTTTTCTCTCTTTCTACATGTTGTTATCTTTATCTCTTACTTTATCTACTTCACTTTCTTGCTGCTTTTGTTTCCCTCAGTTGTTGGCGTTTCTCCAAGGCTTGTTCACCTACTATCACCACGGCTATGAGCTGGCAAAGGACTTCAACCACTTCAAGACTGATCTAACCATTAGCATACAGAATGTAAGCTCAACCACACACAAAGCAAAAGGTCACCCCGTAACCTTGAGTCATGCAATTAAATAAACATTTGTGAAAGTAAAAATAAATTTACTTAATAAAACCAAAAAAGAATAGATTTAAAATAGAAACCATACAGTAGTTGCAGAATTACTGATGTGTTGTGTTTGTCCATCAGTGCTTCTTATAATTATCTTGTCATCCGTCTCCTCCAGATTTGGTTTGATTTTGACCGACAGAAAGAGTTTAAAGGGCTTCACTTTCTTAGTTGTAATCTTCAACTGAAAAGGATACTTCACCCAAAATGCTACGTTGAAGCATTCATGGTGAAAGTTCAAAGGGCATCCAAATCCAAGGTCATTCAGGTCAGCTTCATTAGCACAGCCATGTGAAAAGGCTGCAGGCAGAAAGGAATTCAAAAGTCAAACAGTAACTTGCAGAGTCATCTTAAATTGCAGATCCCTGCGCAATCCCTTGTTTTGTTTTTTTTGTAAAAGAGCTTTTTTAGAAAGTATTTCTTACTCTTCTGAAACATTGCTTATGCTGTTGTTGCAAGTTCAAGATTACTTAGGATCGGATTAGACCAGTCAAAGAAAGGCCTAAGGCGTTGTCTCCTCTGTGCTTGTGTTGACAGACGCGGAACCGTTTTGAGAGCACGCGGTCGGAGGTGGAGAGTCTGATGAGGAAGATGAAAGAGAATCCACATGAACACAAAAGTGTCAGCCAGCATACCATGGAGGGATACCTGTTTGTACAAGAGAAGCGTACGTATCAACCCACGTCTGTGTGCGCGTGCGTATGTGTACATGTTAAGTCTTACAATGAGGACACAGTACAACAACAATTTACAATGTTGCAGTGCCATGGAACTTGAATAAGCGTGCGTGCGTGCGTGCGTGCGTGCGTGCGTGCGGGCGTGCGTGCGTGCGTGCGTCCACACACACACCAGAGTAGCAGAACAAACCATAATTAACCTACAATTGACAAAGTCAAGTCTGATCTGTTGGAGACGTGACAGCAGCACTGACTTCGTGCAGTTACCATGGTAACATCTAGCACTAAAGCAGGAATGATTAAGACTCATCCTTTTTTTTGCTGTAACCCTGTCCCCCCCCTCCTGCCTCTGTCTCTGTTTTTCTCTGACCATTTGACATCCCTATTTTCTCTTTTTCCTTCTCTTCTCCTGTGTTTTTTGTTTTTAACATTCTCTCTCCTCCTTTTACATTTATTTCTCTCTCCCTCAGGCTCATTTGTGTCCACCTGGGTGAAGTACTACTGTACGTACCATCGTGAGCCCAAGAAAGTCACCATGGTCCTGTTTGACCCTAAATCAGGAGGGAAAATGGTGAGTAGCTTGCTCCTTTTAAATATACAGATATGGTTAAAATGTGACTCAACATCAAGGCTATCCATCTGTCCTGCTAACAATATCTATATGTTAGTAAGAAACAGAACATGAGACTTGCATATAGTATTACAGCAGTAGAGACATCCACAGTCAAGTGCACACAAATGTTCCACTCACTTAGACTCATATACAGACACAAACCCACACCTAGTCATCATGTTGTCTGATTTTCAGTTGATTCTCACCCAGGTCATCCCACTGGGCTGCACTCCATCACTCATTAACACACACTGCTCACTGCTGAGCATGACAAGCTCTCACTGTGTGTTTGGGTCTATTATTTTTATTATTCCCAATACACAACATGATGTCAAGATGTATTTTAAAGGAAGCTTTGTGAGCAGAAAACTGATCAACTATTTTAAATCATCAATAGAAAATGTGTTTTGTGTCAGTCTTGCGTCAGACAAAGTGCATTTTTGGTTTCGCATGGTACCATTTTACACCCCCATACAGTCATAGAGAAAGAGAGAGAGAGAGATAACCGTTTCTCCCACAACAGTAGCCTTCGTAGATAACAGTGCAGTATTGCCAAAGATGTTGTGAGTAAGCAGCATGACTGCAACTATTTTGTGAAAGTGCTATCTTTTATAACTATCTCCACCTACATACTGAATAACCCAAAGCTGATGCAAGTTCCGGCCTGTTTTCTGAAGGTTGTCGTAGAACATTTTGAGTTGTTTAACGGAAGTAGAAAAACTGAACATAATGGAAAGCTTTCAGCTCCAACACAGTAAGAAAGTAAAAACATATAGACAATCATAGATTAAAGAAGATGACCTGGGCCCATTAGTGTTTTAAAGTTAGAGAATCAAACCTGCCTGAAATGCTTTCCATGTATGAATGTTAATGAAGCAGGAGTGTAAATATGGTGCTTTCTCACACAGAATATGTACACAAATAAAATAATTTTAAAATAATTTAAAAGAACACATTTATAATTCTCACTGAATATAGCCAAATATGTCCTGAAGATTCATGTATTTTCTCACCAAAGTATACTGACGGCCAGAAATTTAAGATAATTGCCTCAAAATTCATTTGAACCACTTTTAATGACTTACAGTATGTCACACTACTCAAATTGTTCATGTGGATGTAGTGCTGGGCAATTAAACAATACTAATAATTATAAGGATAAAATTTTCCTCAATAACAATCTAACAAATGTTCAATAAATGTTAGTTGAATCACGACTGAATTTTTTATTATTAAGATATTTATTTTGTTGAGGAAAACAAAACATTTAACTTGTTTTCTTCATCCATCCATCGTCAACCGCTTATCCTGCGTACAGGGTCGCGGGGGCTGGAGCCAATCCCAGCTGACATCGGGCGAAAGGCGGGGTACACCCTGGACAGGTCGCCAATCCATCGCAGGGCCACACATAGACAAACAACCAAATCGAATGATATGATTTTTTTTTTGTGATAACCTTTTTGGCCATATCGCCCAGCCCTATGTGGATGTAACCTTCACCGCATTAGTGAGGAGACCAAATACATAATTAGCAATAATCATATATGGCTGTTACAACCCTAAGATTGTCCTATAAAGAAAACATTTAGGCTGACGTTGTTGCTGGTTTACCTGAAGTGAAAGAGCCTAGTGTCTCACGGATAGTGTATGATGGCTTTCCTTCTATGTACTATAACACCAAAGTACTTAGTTTCAAGCTCATTTCTTGTTAGCCAACTCCTGCTGAGATTTGTGTCATTGCCCATCTCACACTGCAAGTCTTTAGCCAAAATGATCTTGGCGTGCTTCCAATTGGAAGTTAAGCAAGTTGAAAATTCTGTCTGTAGATTCAGTTGCTCTCCAACATGAGAGGAAGGAGAGTCCTTCTTATTTAAAAGGTACTTAACTCTAAAAACTGGCCTAGTGTTTCGCTTTATCTGTCAGAGTTCTTAGTCAGAAAGCATCCGTCATCTCAAATGTCATCCATGACATCAGTTGGTTGGTTCAGGATTCTTCTATTCTTGTTGTGTGATAATAACCAGAAGTTTGTGTTTTGCATTTGGATGCCTTGCACGCTGTTATGCACATATCAGAATGATACTAATAAACTATGATGTTTTTTTTCTCTTTTACTTTATCTTTGTCAGGGAGATGAAGATAGCTTCATCCTCAAGTCGTGCACCAGGAGGAAGACTGACTCGATAGAAAAGAGGTTTTGTTTTGATGTGGAGGCCATGGAGAGGTCAGTGAGTGTGTCATTTGACTGCTTTTGTATTCTTCCATTGACCGTTCCTTTTCACATTGTTTTACTTAATCTCACTTTATCCTTTATTCAGAGCCCAAAGTGTGTCTTTATTAACCACAGTCAGTGTAATGCAACAGCCATGATTTCCTGTGTCTATTTTAGGCATTTATTTACAGCTTTACCATCAGTTATCACATCTTATATAAATGTAATCTATTGTGTCATTAATTCTGCAGCAGGACAAATCAGGGAGTTTGATGAATTCTCTATTCACAACTTTTTTCATACATACAGTACATTAGATAATGTTTTTTTATGTGATTTTGTCAGAAAGGTAGAGAGTTGTTATACTTTTATCTCCATCACAACAGTGATGGAGACAAAAGTATAACAACAAAAGACACAGACAATCCAGGAAATTCTTTAAAAAATATACGTTGTGTAATTATAGCCAGCAGACACTTGGGGGTGCTCATTTGTTTTACACCTGAAAAACAGATATCATGGCTGGTTGTGCTCACAGGCTTAGCCCCCTGCAGTGCTTCACTTCCTACACTCCTCTTCTTCCTCCTCCTCAACTTCAGCCTTCCCCCATCAAATCATCTCTCCTCACCCTCTTGTTTCCTGTTCCCCCATTGTGCCTTTTATTTATATTCTTGGTGTGTGTGGTGTGCATCTGTTGGTGTGTGTTTGTTTGTCTCTAAAGTATTATCTGTATTATTTTAGTGTTGCTGTGGCACAATGTGGGACAACAGTCAAATTTGATAGCATTGTACCCATTATCACTATGATGAAATGGAAGTAGTGGAAGTAGTGGCTGTTTGGATGGAGTGGCTCCTCCACTGCAGTCTTTTGCAATTAGCTTTGTAGAAGCGTGTTGTTGTGCTAGGTGCTTCAGTAGAATTACTAGTCTTTCTTGTAGACAAAGGTCTTGCACATAGACCACAACTCAACATTATATTTTTGTCAGTGATCTTGAGGATGGAAAAATAATGTCCATATACACAGCGAACTCATTTGGTCGGCCTTTGTGTGCAGTGTAATGCTAATTGATTGATTCACAATATTCATTACGGCGGCGTAAAGTGGGGAGGTGTTAGGGAATAGTGTTTGTCTGCTATCAACACAAAAAAAACAAGTCCATTTCAATTTCAGTATTCAGTAGTGTTATTTAATTTGAAAAAGTAATTACAACGGTAGTTACATTTCTAGTTACTGCCAAAAGTAGTGGAGTTAGAGTATGATGTTACTTTGTAAGCAGGGCAGCCAACCAAGGGACACGGTTGCCACTTTTCCTGATAAGCAAAGATACTTTGTGTGTTTGTGTGTGTGAAGGTCGGGAGTGATCACCATGCAGGCTCTGTCAGAAGAAGACCGCAGGTTGTGGATGGAGGCCATGGATGGAAGAGAACCGGTAGGTTACCACGGTTACCACACTTTTACTGTTTTATTTTTATTTAAGGAACTCTATGAAATGAATTGTTCTTTACTGTTATATTTTAAGCTTTGGCAATATTGCTGTTTGGCATTCATGCAAATAAAGCTGAATTGAATTCAATTAGTGAGAGAGAGACAGAGAATGGCAAGCCAAAAAGGTTTGGGAACTGCTGGCATTTAGCCATTATCCCATACATAAGGTTGGTGTTTATGTACCTAATAGGAAAGTTGACTGACAACCAGTCTCCCCAACACATGGTTTATGCCTTCTTAACACAAAGCTTTTTCGCCCTAAAGCTAATACTGCGTGTTAGTGCTCCTTTCCATTCGTCTTATTTTGTCACGTTCATGTCCCAACATCTCCCTCGTGCTTATGTCTACGTTAACATGTGTGAAGGTAATCGGCATCAATAAAGCCATCGCAAGTTTCAACAAGCAGTTGCAGAGCTCAGACAATCTGTAAAAAAAACAAGAAATCTTAGTGCTCATGTTTCACTTAAGCTTACCCGACCTTTGTTGTTGTCGTAAACACTTCCCTCTTCTGTGGCTGCTCACCACTGACTGCAGCAGCAACAACATGTCCAGTTCGTTCTGAACAAGCCCGGGCAACAGCCACAGATGGATTTATATTTACTGTTTTTTCCATATTATAGTTGGTTTATTTTATTTTGATGTGTAAAACACATGCATTCTAACTCTTACTGACTTTTACATTGAGCGCAGGCATAAAGGTGTACACAGAGCCCTAAATTAAACAAAGTATTCTCACCATTACCATGGAAAATTATGGTATGCAGATTGCAAAAGCCAACAATAAATGTGGCACTTATATGTTCCTCGTTATCCTAATAAATCCTAGACAAAGTATTCAGGTTTGTCATAATTGAAATGAGCAGCATTTGCTTACAAGCATTCAAGGCCTAACTCAACTCAATTCAAGGCACACATAGAACAACAGCTCAACAGCATATAATCGGTGTGTATGGTGTTTTTCTTTAATAAAATGTTGATTACAGATGTAATGTAAAAATTTCACCTGCCCTCACTTGGCTTAGTTTTAAATTATTTTATATTTGAAGTAGTGTGTGTGTGTGTGTGTGTGTGTGTGTGTGTGTGTGTGTTTTTCTTTTCTTTTTTTTACTTTTTTTTATTTGCAGGTATACAATCTGAACAAAGACAACCAGACTGAAGGAAGTAAGTAGCATTAATTGGTATCAGTTAACAGTTTATTCAAGAGTACAGTATTATTTAGTATGATCTTACTTTCTGTATTACAAAGAGTGCGCTCTAGACCTGCTCTATATGAAAAGTGCAATGAGATATCTGTTGTTATGAATTAGAAAAATAACTAAAATTGGATTGAATTAATGGATTGAATTAATGGAAGCGATAGGGTTTGATTAAATAGCCTATTCAAAAGACTTGTTTTGGCCAAAAAATATCTGAACTTTTTAATTCATTATCTCTAGAACAGAAGGTTTGCACATTGCTAGAAATAGATACTGAGAAATCAAAGCAAACGTAAATCAAAAATATATTTTTTCGATCTCATTTTATTCTGACGGCTCACTCCCATTCTGTTGGTCTTCTGCTCCATCAGTGGCCCAGCTGGATGTGATTGGGTTCAACGTGATGAAAAAATTCATCTATGCACTGGAGACTCGAGGTAGACTGTTAAGTCAGATTCTTGTTTTATTCTTTTTGTTCTGTGAATTTCTTGCTTCTTTAGGATACACCGTACATTTCAGTTAGATTCAGTTCGGATCTGTACTTTTGATGTCCCACCAGAGTGCTGCACAGTACAGACTACTGCACCATGGGAAGCAACTGACTTGTAATGGACAATATGATTTCAGCTACCATCACTTGATTTACAATACTTTGCTTGTTTATATTTTCATCGCTATTTCACTGCACACTTACACACGTTTAAACCGCTACATATACACTTAAACAGCAAAGTAGCATTTACATTTAGCTTTTATCAAGGGAGAGAGAGAGAGAGAGAGAGAGAGAGAGAGAGAGAGAGAGAGAGAGAGAGAGAGAGAGAGAGAGAGAGAGAGAGAGAGAGAGAGAGAGAGAGAGAGAGAGAGAGAGAGAGAGAGAGAGAGAGAGAGAGAGAGAGAGAGAGAGAGAGAGAGAATTTGAACCCAGGTTTCTCCCACTAATGTTTTGTGTCTTTGCTTCCATTATTTATTACATATTAGACCTAATTGTGGTAAATTGACAATAAGTGAAACCCTGTGTAATGTAAACAGAATCGAGAACAACACAGTTTCTATGCAAGAAAGAATGTTAATAAATCAAATGTTATGGCAAATGTTCATTTACAATGGTGTGAAAAAGTTCCCTTCCTGATTTCTTATTTTTTGGCTTGTTTGTCACACTGAAATGTTTTAGATAAAACAAACTGAAATATAAGATAACACAAGTAAACACAAAATGCTGTTTTTAAATGAAGGTTTTTATTAAGGGGAAAAAATCCAAACCTATGTGGCCCTTCGTGAAAAAGTGATTGCCCACTAAACCTAATAGCTGGTTGGGCCAGAGAAATGGTCACGAACAGATGAATTCAGGATTTTTTGGTAGACAGCAGAATTCATGGTTCCATTTACCACAGCAAGTCTTTGAGGTCCTGAAGCAGCAAAACAGCCGCAGACCATCACACTACCACCACCATATTTTACTGTTGGTATGATGTTCCTTTTCTGAAATGCTGTTACTTTTACGCCAGATGTAAATGGACACACACCTTCCTATTAAAAGTTCAACTTTTGTCTTGTCAGTCCACAGAGTATTTTCCCAAGAGTCTTGGGGATCAAGACTGTTTCTGATGTTTTCTGGCAAAACTGAGACGAGCCTTTGTGTTCTTTTTGTTTAGCAGAGGTTTTCGTCTTGGAACTCTGCCATGCATGCCAGTTTTGTCCAGTCTCTTTATTACGGTGGAGACATGAACACTGACCTTAACTGAGGCAAGTGAAGCCTGCAGTTCTTTGGATGTTGTTTTTTTGTGACCTCTTGGATGAGTCGTTGCTGTGCCCTTTGGGTAATTTTGATCGGCCGGCCACTCCTGAGAAGGTTCACCACTGTTCCATGTTTTCACCATTTGTGGATAATGGCTCTTACTGTGGTTCACTGGAGTCCCAAAGCTTTAAAAATGGCTTCATAACCTTTTCCAGACTGATAAATCTCAATTAGTCAGTTTCTCATTTGTTCCTGAATTTCTTTGGATCGCAGCATGATGTCTAGCTTTTGAGGATCTTTTGGTCTACTTCACTTTGTCAGGCAGGTCCTATTTCAGTGATTCTTTGTTTGAAAACAGGTGTGTCAGTAATCAAGTCTAAGGTTAGAGAAATTTAACTCTGCTTTCCAAAGATGTGATAAACCACAGTAAATTTACACAGTGCCATGTTTTTCCCCCCCTTAATAATAAAAACCTTCATTTAAAAACTGCATTTTGTGTTTACTTATGTTATCTTTGTCTAATTTTTGAATCTGTTTGATGATCTGAAACATTTCATTGTGACAAACATGCAAAAAAAATAAGAAATCAGGAAGGGGGCAAACACTTTTTCACATCACTGTACTTAGATGCAAACATTAATTAAATTGTACTGGCCGTCCTGCTCTTGTCCCTCACAAAATGCATGCTGAGTAATAATCTTCATACACCTTGAGATTTTGTTTAATCGAATGCCAGGTTTAAATACCTACTTAAGCAAGAAAGGGGTGGTACCTTATTACCATTAATGCCTTCTTAGCTTACGGTTCCCGATCTTAACCAGGAAAAAGAAATTTTCTCTCCTCATTATCTATGTTAGATTTGTTTGTAAGTGGATTAATTAATATTTTACTAATGACGTAAATGACGTTACCTTTATCTTCAGTAATGTAGTAACTGATGAAGTAAAAGAAGTGTACAATACTCAAATGAGGAAGCCCAAAGATAAATATTTTTGTTTCTCTTGGTTGAAAATGTCCATGAAATAACAACAAGTGGTAACCTATCCTCCTCTCCCCTCCAGGTATTGATGAACAGGGCTTGTACAGAATAGTTGGCGTCAGCTCCAGAGTACAAAAGCTGCTGAGCCTCGCTATGGGTAAACACAGAAACACGCAACACACATATTTAGTCAAAACTGAAATTAAAATATATTTTCACTCCTGTAATTTATTAGTTTAATTAATGTCATTTTTTAAATCTTCATATCAGATCCTAAGACATGTGCTGACGTGGAGCTGGAAAACCCAGAGTGGGAGATTAAGACAATCACGAGTGCTATCAAGCACTATCTCAGGTTTGTATGAAAAGGCTCCCATAAGTGCACTTACAAGGTAAAATCAGAAAATCAGAAAATCATGTGAAACAGCTGTACAAATGCTATAATTATTATCAAAATTTCACCAATGTTCTGCTCGCAAGCTGTTTCCGGGATTTAAAACTTATGAGTGTGTTTTAACTTCCAAGACCCATGGTAAAATGGATGATTGCTCTTATCATGACCTTAAATTATCCCTCCCATTCTGAAATTGCAGCACTTTTCTGCTGTTTTTACTCATAGCACTTGAATAAATGCGTATAGTTTTTTTCAGTCTCTGCCTCTTGTGTAAAACTGATCTCTGGCCTGTATCCAACCCAATGAATTATGAATTTTCCTGTTTATTACTCAGTATTTGCTTGTTTGTTTGTTAATTTTTTATGAACTCTTATTTACCTATGGAGGGGTTGTTCTTAAATGCAGTTGAGGGTTAAATTACTTCCTCGAGAGCACCTTAACAATTTGTACTAAGTGAAGGATCAGGTGTCAAGTGTAGTGGTGTCCAGGCTGTGCTCAATCTGCTGTACCTGAATGAATCTACACTGTGCATAATACAAACACACAGGTACCAAAACGTGTACACACACAGACACACACACACACACATATTTGCACTTTATTGGCACATTAATGGACAGCATTACAGAAAGACCTACTCTCCACACTCACAGACGACACACATCACACACACATACAGCTTCAGGATCTTAGGCCTCATTGAGAAACAGCAGGAGCCATTACACTCCTCAGGCAGCAGGGATTAAACTGATGTCCAGCTATGCAAGCCGGCATGGTGGAGAAAGAAGATGACAAGGAGAAGGCTGTGATGAATTCGCATCCAGAACTATTCACACATATTGATTTTTCGCAAAGCACTCAACCCTGAATTCTTGTTCCCTTTTCTGAGCTGACATTCTCCACCTGACGTCTCCGTCTCCTGTGTTTTCAGAATGCTGCCTGCACCCCTCATGACATACCAGTACCAGAGGAGCTTCATCAAAGCTGCCAGTGAGTGTTTTCCTTTTTAATTGTCTTATTTGCCTCTCGGGTGTGAGTTCAGTTAGCAGAACATACAAAGACAGACTCTTCTGGAGTTTGAGATTGTTTGATTCACAGAGGTTACCTAGATAAAAGCATGCAAACAGCTATTCTAAGACCACGCTGGATAAAAAACCCAGACTGTACTAAATTAATGACCATGTGATTTACAGGGAGTGCACAGGTTCTAACAAAACAAACAAAGTAGGAGAATTGTTAAGCAATCTTTGGTTTGTTATTGATTTTAGGTGAAATCCTCCTGGGTCATGTCATGTTGATATGTACAGTTTATGAATGGATTAAAGACAGATTAGAGTTTTTTTTGTAATAATTAAGATTGCCATTCTTTGTTCTCTTTCCCTTTCTAATGAATATCTATTTGAAGAGATTACTTCACCTGTTCTCCTCAGTTTAATTTGGAGAACGAGAGCATCATATGAATCATTATGTGAATGAGGTCATGACTTCCTATTAAACCGGTTGCCAGTTACAAATAGACTGTTCACCTGCTGGGATACCAGTACACACACTGTTCCGTCCCGACGTTACGGTCTGCCTATTTGGTCTGGTAGCTGAGCCCTCCAACTGTGCCACTTTATGCTGTGTGTGGCACACAGTATGTTACTGACCTGCTGTTTGTAGTTTTGATACAGAATATTTGTATGAGATTCACATACAGAGGAAAAGCCTGGGGGAGCTGATCTAAAAGTGACAACGTAGTAAAAGCTATCAAGTTTCAGACTGGAACCGAAAAGCATACCGGAGACAGAACAGGTTAAGGTAAGGGGATTTATTGACAAACACAGACTTAATGAGGCAGAGGGGACTGGCAGGTGAGTGGAGGTGGGGGTTTGGGCCTGAATCCAGAATTTGATGCAAGCAGGCAGGCTTGGCTGGCAGGAGGGGGAGGCTGCTGTCAGGGGAAGTGGTCCAGAGAGTTCTGAAGGTTGATACGTATTCCTATACATACTAGGAATTACACAACGATCTGGCAGGGACTGGATGTCTGGTCTGTCTTTAAGAAGGGATGGGCTTCACATAAACATAGACAGACAGACAAAACCAAAACGCACCAAGCACAAGCAAATCAAACAAAAAATAAAGAAAAGCACTCTCACTCCCAAACCAGATGTCACTGAGCAGGTGTTATGGTAGGGAGGTTGTGACAGAAAGCTTAGTGTTTTGTGGTTTGTTGGGTCAAACAGCAGATGTAAAATTTTCCTTTTTTTTACCAGCACCTGGTGGGTGCGGAGTATTGAGTCAGGATAAATACTTTAATTTAAAAAAAAAAAACACTCAGACTGCCTAAACCCACTAAACAGTCTTATGAGTGCATTAGATTGTTCTCATGTGGTTCCTAGGATACAAAATAAAGTTTTGCAATCACTAACTGATTTAGACCATACAGCAGAATCTAATAGTTTGTACTTCTAGGTTTGGTCTGGCCTTGTTTGATTTAGTTTATTTTTGGATTTGTATGGTCTGGACCATTTCCGTGTTGCTACCATATCTGCTTTTTACAGAAATTAAAAAAATTTGACTTATTCTAGAAAGCCCAGGTGTAGTCTGGTCTCCTGTTTGGCAGGAACACATCCAGTGACCTATTTTCTTTATCTGTCGGTAGCTAAGCCTTCAGAAAGCTGAGCTGACAGGGGAAGGAACTTCAGGAAATGACTGTGTGTCTCTGGCAATGCCACCAGGAAATGGCTTCATAGTGAGGCCAACTGGAAAGAAAATGGGGAAAGTGTGTATTAGGAGAAAGGAGTAGAGCGTTGTAGATAAGAATTTCAAGGTAGCTGGTTTGATACCAATTTGGACCACCCATTCTATAATGCATGTAGTCATGGTTTTGTAATAATCATAAAATATAACACGTGCTTGCCAACTATTTGTTCACAGTTTATATATCTCATCTCACCCCGGTTCTTTCCTTCTGTTGAGCTTCTTCACCTGCCATTCATCAGTTTCTTTGGGTGTCTGCATTTGCATGTCATGAATTTGTGTGTGAATGCATATGTGCAAGAATGCATGTCTACTTGTGTGACTCCGCTTTTGTATCTTTTCCAAGGTAATAATTTTGCAGACGCAGCGGGGTGTTTTGAGGACAGCGTCCTCATTTGAACTCCCTCTTTCAGTTCTTCCCGTCTCCTCCTCCTCTTTTCACGTGTCCTCTCCAACTCCTCCCACCACCCTGCTTGCGAACCTCTTCTTCCTTCTCTTTCTCTAGTATCAGCTCGGCTTACTCTCTCCCGTCCCGTGCTACGCTGGTTGTAAATATATGGTTTAAAGGGAGAGCTTATTTTTTTGTGGTTTGTTGGGTCAAACAGCAGCTGCAAAATGTTCTACCCAAGCACCTAATGGGTGTGGTGTATCAGGTCATGATAAATAATTTCATTTTCAAAACACACCAGACATATTGCCTGAACACTCGCTCCAATCATTTCAGTGTATTAGATTCTTTTCCTGTGGCTCCAAGCACTAACTGATTTAGACCATGAAATAGAGACTTTAGGAGAAAGACGAGAAGGAGGAAGGGTGCAGTACCACCAGGATTTCAGATACCTGGCATGTACAAGCAAAAAAACACACATACAGTAATCACCTTGTCTCCATTCATTAAGTTTTGTTTGCAGTATGTCTTTCTCATTAATTCATGAATGTTCTCTTTATATTTCACCTTTGATTCTCTGTATTTTCTTTCACTATGTCCTATCTGATATTTCCACTTGTATAAATTGCCTGAATTCCTTTCGACTCGCTTTTCAATATGCTTCGCTCTTCACTAATACAAGGTGAAGGTTTTTTTGTTAAACTTCTAAAAAGCTGGACTGAACATTTATCACTTTTTTCATCACTGTAATTTTCACCTTATAAAGTACCTAAAAGAGAAGGAAGAGAGATGATACAGGGGTGAAAGATGATACCCTTGAGTTGAATTAAAGCTAATACACAGTTTGACATTCAGAGTCTAACCTGCATGGCACACATTTCACAGACTTTAAAAGATCTTATCCCTCTTTTCAAGCAACCACGCTGACAGAGTTTCTTTTTAAATAAACAGCATTCAAAAACCTATCGCTGTCCTTGTTTAAAAGATATTAATCGGTTTGTATTTTTATCTTATCTACTTAGCCAAGGATTTGCGACACCTATAATTGCTGATGGAGTGATTTGTTTGCTGCCCCACTCTGCAGACCATAATTCAAGTTTAGCTGCAGGTCAGAACTCAAAAAGGGGGGGATTTGGCATGTGGGTTTGATTATTAAATTGCCCTTCTCTCCTTTTTGTCTCTTTTTTGAAAGACAAAGCGGTCAGGTGAGGTCAGGTCAGGTGAAGACTTAAGGAAGAATATATTGCCTTCTCTTTGAAGTACAGACGGATATGGAGATTTCTTCTGAAGATTTTACCCTCTTGTGAAAACCTGTTTTCCATCTATCCGTCCATCCACCCATTCATGTTCTGCTGCTTATCCTTGTCAGAGTTGTGGTGGTGGCAGGCTTGAATCCTAATCCGTTATTCGGGAAAGCACAAATAATGCAATGGAAACTGATGTTTCTTCTGCCTGAAGAGCCATGAATGCTTTCAATACTCTGATGCACTGTGTCTTTTCTCTATGATGGTGGGCTTTTCATCCCACCTTCGAGTTTGGACAAACAGGTATCAACACATTTGCCTTTCGACATGTTCCAATAAAACTTTGAACTTGTTGATTTCCAGCATACACTGATCTTTCGCAAATCAGCCCAGATGCCCTGCTCACTAGCTAATTCCTCCAAGTCCTCCTGAGGGATCCCAAGGGATTCCCAGGCCAGATGGGATACAAAAATACCTCCAGTGTGTTCTAGGTCGAGCTAGTCCAGGGTCTCCTATCAGTTGGCCATGTCTGGAGTACCTCCATAGGTAGGTTTCCAGATGGCATCCAAATCAGAAACCTGAGAATCTCTGCTTTTGCTGTGCCTACTGACTTGGCTTTAGTGACAAAGAGGAGAATGCTTGGCGAACAGTAATATCTTCTCAGTAACAGCCAAACCTGCTGGCCTAACTCTGGAAAACACTGTAGTCAATAATTTAGACCATTTTGTATGCATGAATGGATGAAGTCAGTATTGTGTTGCTTGTAGCCAGGTGGGGCTCCCAACATGTCTTTCAGCTTGACAAGAAACGGATTACATAAACCAGGAAACTAAAAACTGAAGATTTACTGAGACAAACACCTGTTGTTTACTCCTACTTTAGATTTAAGATAAATGAGCTCTCAAAATTAAATTAAAAATACTCCTAGAAGGACAAAGGGCAAATCTCGCTGAGGAACAGTGAACGACTTAGATTATATATATATATGTATATATATTGCATGTGTGACATGATTATTGGAAACATTATTTTGTCTGAAGGGCTGAAATTCAAGGTGAGAGAGAAAAAGTGACTTTAAAAGGTCAGCGTCTGTTAAGTGATGGATGCAATGGAGGCTGTGATAATAAATGACTTCTGCTTAGTGAGTTACTGAGCACAGTGTTAGATCGACATTCAGACGGTTTGTGCAGGGGTTTCGTTTTTTTGACTGACCCCAGCATTTCATCTGTTTTTACAGCATGAATGTGTATTCCTGTAGTACCTTAATCTAGAAAAAATACATCAAATTTTCATATTGATTTCATTCAAAGTGATTTTCTTTTAATGCAGTTATGAAATGAGATCAATTTGATGTGTAGGGGAGTTGTTGTGAAGGAAGCAATATGGCAAATAACAAGACATTTTGTCAAAGTATGTGGCAGGCTTCATTTTATTAAATTATACAGCTGTTTTGTGATTATTAATTTGGGATTTAGTAGAATTTAGTTTTTCTATGAACTGTAGAACTGCATGGGGGACTTTATGAGAGCTTAATGCTGACCTTATAATGGGGAAACTTTTGTTTCTACCTAACATGAAGCATAACATAACTAATTTAACAGCTGGTCTGCACTTTTGTGAATTAATTTTCCTTGATACTATACTAATTCAACTTTTGCTTATGATATTTCATCATTTTCAGATCTGTAATCACTTTCATTGAAATAGTTGCTGCACATTGCACATAACTTTCAGTTTGTGTGCAAATTAAAGTAATCAGATATTATTCACTAGTGACCTACAGGTGCTGGTAGGTGTATTTTTAACTTACTAACAGCTTGACTAACTCCCTGCTAATCTCCCTGCTTCCAGTCTTGATGTTAAGCTTGCTAATTTACTCCTGGCTTCAGCTCTATATTTAATGTACAAAAGATATTGATATTGAACTTCTCAATGAACTCTGCAATATAATGGTTATGCGTACTTCCTAAAATGAAATTCAAATAATTCCTTTAACACTGAATACTGTTTCAGAATGAATCTCTGCATTCTTTGATATAATTAATAACAATTAGTTTGATTTAATATGTTTGCCCTAGCATATACGTAGTGATATTTCTCCATTATACCAAATTGTGACTGTATTTTAACAATTGCAACACTCCTTGTCTGCAGTAATGAGACAAGTTGGTAGGTGTTTGTGGGCGTTAATTGCAGAACCTACAAGGACTGGAAAAAATAAGTGAAGGATGACAACCAGTAGAATTTTGTCTGACTCGTGGATAGAATCAACATATTTCCAATAGTGTTAAGCTTGGATTTCTGAAAGATTGAAGGAAATGAGGAGTGTGTGCTTCAGCATAATGTGTGCAGTGGTGGACGCGAGAATGCATAATAAGGAGCAATAAGCATTACTTATTACTCATGTGTATTGTTTTGAGGTATGTGTGCGTGAAGTCGAAGTGCACATGCATGTGTATGTTACAGGTATTTTAGTTTGTGTGGGTGACTAACTGTTTACATACATACATAAGTGTGTGTGTATATATATGTATGTATATATGTGTGCGTGTATTTATTTATTTTAGTAAATGTGTATGTGTGTGTGTGAGATACTCCGCCATTTGCAAGTGTACTACCTGGTGCTGACAGCCAGGGCCTGAGGGGTGATCTAGTGTGAGTCTGCTGTCATCTCTCTAACGACTGGCTCAGCAGCCGTGACTTATTATCATCAACAGGTCTCTCTGCCTGCCTCTTTCCCTGCCATTCTGCCTGTTAATCACTGGGACACAGAGATTTCCCACTTTGCAGCAGAGTTTAACAGAGCCCCAAGCCCAGTGGTTCCTACTGAAGATGTAAATCTTTGAAAATAGATCACAAAATATAGTAATCTCAATAAAGTAAATATTTTTATTTTTATTATATTTGTTTGGGACTCTTTTCAGTCACAAATTAATACACATTTAGTATTCTAGTGAGTAATTATGGCAGCAGGATGGTATATTTGGGGTTATTAAAATAAAATACAGTGTTGTTCATGGTGTTGAAGGAACATGTGGCTTACTGTTTTTTTAAATAGTTTTTGGACAACAGTGGAGGTCAAATGGCACAGCGGAATAAAAAACATATTAGGATCTGCTACACAGATACTACACATACTTGTTACGATGATCAGTTCATTGCTGTTTTTTTTCTTTTCATGTGGTTTGTTGGCAATAAAAAATATATTGCCAGCATTGTCCTTCACACATGTACCACAGCTGTGGCTTCCTCTGCATAACTGATATTTAACTTGTGACCAAAGCTGTTATTTGACTTGTGTTTGTACGTGATTCTTTTCATTTCTAGGCTCATTCTTAGAAAGCGTGACTAACTATGTCTCTATGCCAAGGTTTTGCAATTGTTTGTGTGCACAGTGACCACTTGTTGCATTCAAGTAGTACACACTTTAGTTTGAAACTGTGCATCTCCCCACAGACAAAGCTTGGGAAAAAAGGAATCTACCCGCCCTTTGTTTACTTGCTTAGCTATGCTCAACTCCCGGATAACTGGAATCATGATTATATCATTTGATCCTATACACACTCAACAATAAGATAGCCTAATATTTCTGTTTGACATAACTTCAGAATATATCAAATACATAAATCCAGGTCTGGCATTTATTAGTTTCTGGGAAAGTGGGAAAGACACTTCCCATAAACTACTGTATCTCTGAACTTTAACTAAATCATGCACATTTAGGCTATTCTGTGTGATCTGTTGTTGTTTTTCTGCGCCTTACAAGTATGTGTCAATAAAGATGTCGGGGGAATGGGACACTTCAAGCTGAAGTCTTAATTTCCTCAACTGTCTCTGTATCTCTGTCTCCATCCAGAGTTGGACAACCCAGAGGCCAGGGTGACAGAGATCCATGCTCTGGTGCACCGGTTGCCTGAGAAGAACAGACAGATGCTGGAGCTGCTGATGAAACACCTGGCCAAGTAGGTTGAGATACATTACTATATTATACTGTATTAGACATTGTACACCAAAGAAACACAGACCAACAGACCACAGTATTTAATTTTAGTGGTTACTATGTAGTGTTACTAACAATAGTGGATTCTCCCTCTCTGATCCTCTACATCCATTGCAGTAATACTCCTTAGCTTGATTGTTGCTGTTGGTCATCTTCGAGGAGGATTAGGGCTCAGTGTAATCTCGAGACCATATGCATTAAGGTGGTGTGTACTGAAAATAGAAAACCATGTAGCAGGCCAAATGTATTAGGTGAAGGAGCTACCGCGGTCACAGGCCAGTAAGGACTAACTGGGTGATTTGCAGGCCACGTTTAGGATTAAACTGGGCTACATTTGGACAGTGTTGGGTGTAACGCTTTACAAAAGTAACGCAATAACAGTAATGTATTTCTTTTTGCTGTAATGCAGTAGCGTAAGGCATTACTAAAAGAAAATCAGTAATATTATACTTGTTAAAATGTCACTAACAGCACATTTTAAACCGAAATTAAGGGGGGGTTTGTTTTTTAATAATTCACCAACACCAAGAAACATTTCAGCACTAGAAAAACACATCAAAGAGTAAAAGAATAATGTTATTTCCTGTTGCTGGACTCTGAGGGTCGAGACTGTAGGCAGGGTGCAAACTACAGGGGAGCTCAGCTCCTCTTAACAAGACGGTAGCTCTCCTGATGGATTATGCGTAAATACTGTAGATTTCTGTAGGCTGTGTCTGTGCTTTAACGAATTAGTTTCATGATTAGGGAGGCTGCTGTCAGGTCATCCTGACCGATTCTTTGTGTCGAGGGATTCAAATAATCACTAGCTGTGTTTCCATCAAGGTTTTTTTTTATGTGCAATTTGAAGTATTGCATTAGAAAAGGTTGGTGAAAACGGCAAAATCCAAATAAAAATCCCTAATTCTAAACTATAAACACATTCCTGAGGCCCTCTCTCCATTTTTCTAAGATCAGTGGCCATCAGTTCCATGTGGCTGGTTTTGTTTCTGGTTTGGAAACCATATGTCTTGTTTATTTACAACCATGTGTAACGTCCACTACTCTTGCCGTAGCCTGGTTAATTCGCTCCAAACCAGCTGATGGAAACGCACTTATTTCGCACTTATCTTTTTTGCAAGATTTCAAAAGTCAGCTTAAAATTCGCATGACAATTAGATAGAAACATGGCTACTGACGTTATGGTGCTGTACCTCGTGCTTAAATGCGCAAAGCGTGTTTCTTAATGGGGAGACGATTCATGATATTTCATCATCTCCCGCCCCACCCCACCCCCTCGCTATTAATCAGAAGGTTATTTTTATAACAAACACTCACCTGATCTACGGATATAACTGCACTAGAACCCACCTATGCATCAGAATATTGCGGCCACTAAATAGCAGTGAAAGTAACTGAAAGTAACGCAAAAGTAGTGTAAAGCATTACAATTCAGATATTGTAATATAACTAATTTCTCTCAATTGTCAGTAACTAGTAATCTATAATGTATTAGATTTTGGAAGTAACTTGCCCAACACTGCATTTGGAAAAGTCAAACTTTTACATATGCACATCTTACTTGTAACTTTAGTTTCAACAGATTTTAAATGACTATATTTCAAAATGAAGTTGGTCCTAACTTCAAATGGAAATAAAGTCATTGATGCAAAGTAAACACAAATGCTAAGAAACATTTCAAACTAATGTATCCCGATTTTATCCCAGATATGCGAACCACTAAATCAGTTTTGGATGTTTCTATAGTGTATGTTGAAAACAATATACTGTATAGACAAGAACATTTTGTGAATCAAACACATTATCCGTCTGTAGGTTACATAACCACAAGCTGCTGCAGCCCATTAGCAAAAAAGCAGGGCATGACAATGTTGGCTTACTTGCAATTATTACTTTAATGCAGCAGGCTGGCATTTTGTTTTTACTGTAAACCCACATCTAAGCCCTCTGGCTTCATCTGACTTTTCTTCAACAGTAGCGGCATGATAATGTGTGACAAATGGGACATGAGCCGTGTTTCTATAACATGTAGGCGAGCAGGTATTTTGAGGATATGCCCATTATTATCTGGGCTTAGTGGATTACAGTGGATCCTGCCTCATAGGTTGAATGGCTGGATCACGGTAAACACACTTCAGCTCTCTGTCTCTTTCTGCTCTTTCTGTTTCTATTGCCAAAGGGACTAAAATGTTCTATTAATAGAGAAAATACACTCACCTGCCAGTCCTGCAGCAAAACCACCCTTCATAAATATAATACAATGAGGTGTTTCTGGTTTTTAACCTCCCCTCACTTATATATATATATATATATATATATATATATATATATATATATATATATATATATATATATATATATATATATATATATATATATATATATATATATATATATATCCACATTATAGAAATATTATTTGATATTTATTATTTAATATATTAAAAACTCCAATTCACAAGCACTAGCGCTAATAGCCACACACAGAGTTAAATTATTAGCGTCTACAGCGAGTTGGTGGTAACTGAAGTGCATTTACAGTATAAGGGATGTCACAGACAGAGTTTCCAGTGACCATGGTGCAAAATAGAGAAAACTTCATGCGCCAAGGTGCATGTAGGAGAGCACACAGTTAAAGCACCTCAAATAAGAGTCACCCTGACAAAACATTCTGTACAGAGTGAGTCATAGAAAAACTAGAGGCATCCTGCAGATAAAAACGAATGAAAGAACAGGAGGGAGTTAATAGACATTCTATACCAAATTAAACATTTTAAGATATGAGTGGAAAAATTTGTTGTTGCAGCTGCATTTTTCTTACTTAAATGTTGCTTAACCATTTCATATGATATGCTACCTAAGTACACTTGAAGAAGAAATATTACTGGGACCACTACAGAAAATTGCAGATGAACATTTAACAGACCCAAAACAAGACAATTTGCACTTAGCTTCCAAACGATATGGGATGTAATATCATTAGGGCAATATCTTTTGTGAATTGCACCTTGAGAAAGGAAAGATAGTGGTTGTAGGTGATGCACAATGTATGGTGCTATCAGAGGCCGCAATCCATTCTTTGTAAATTCACTCCTGAGTGTATTAGGTACAGTGGTAAATGCGTAAGCTATTCAAATAAAAAAATTCATATTGTAAAATAAAGATCAATGGATTTATTAGGGTTGGGAAAAAAATAAAATCAAAATACAGCTGGAGCTAAAACAGTTTAAAAATAAATAAGACAAAACAGTGTGCAAGTTAAGGTTTCTCATTGTCACATTTAGTGAGATATTCTCAGTCTGTACCTTCCTTGTTTTGTAATTAGGGTCTGTCAGATTTCTGTCTGTATTGTACTCTGATATGATTTTCTTGCATTTCTAGCTCTCTCTCTTACTGGATCAAAACGTGTTGCCAAAACATGTACACTACATGAAAAGAGAAAATGAACCTGTCTCTGGCATCACCTTGATCTTTCAGTGCTGTGACCTGTTTTACATTTACTTCATTCATTTAGCTTTCATCTAAAGCGACATACAATTGCTTTATATGTCAGAGGTCACAGGCCTCTGGAGCTACTAGGGGTTAAGTGTCTTGCTCAGGGACACATTTGCGGATGTGTCACAGTGGGGAATTGAACCCGGCTCTCTCACATCAAAGGCATGTGTCTCATCCACTGTCCTTGCATTTTCTCTCATGAAGTGTTTTCACATGTAGCTGTCACATGCAGTGTCATAAACCTCTCCAGTTTTTCTCTCAGGTGTGTACTAGCAGAGATGTCAACATGTTGTATGGTGTGTTGCTAAGTGCTGACTCTCTGTTACTTAATAACTCTGGCTAGATGTTCTGACAGCTCAGCCATTAAGGGAGTCCTGCTGGGATGCTTATGGTTGAGTTGGCAGTGTCTTCCTTGGTCTCATTTGGGGTGAAACTGCTATTTCCAAGTTCAATAAAGAACCCTCAAATTTTCTTGCATTATAAACTTCAATTGTTTCACCAAGGAGAGTCTTCAATTTGTCTGTTTCACACTTGGCAAAGAATATTTTTTCTCTGTCTAACTACTGCTTTATATGGAAACCTGTTTCAACAGCCAATTGCCTGAGTCTGTATGTAGTTAAAACATTATTAACTTCTTTTTTTAGCTTCTTGGGGGCAGCAGAACATACTATAAACACAACATTCACATATTATTTATTCATGAAGTTGTTATGCTGAATTTAACTTAAGGTTCAATGTGGAATATTTAGGATCTACTGACAGAAATGCAATCTAATATACATATATATATGTTTTCAGTGGTGTATAAAGACCCCACATAATGAACTGTTATGTTTTATTACCTTAGAATGAGCCATTTCAATCTACATACACTGCAGGTCCTCTTACATAGACGTTGTCATGTTGCGCCGCCATGTTTCTACAGTAGCTCAAACGGACAAAAGTCTCTACCGAGCATGTTTCGTCACTATGTTGAATGCGTACGTAGGAGAAAAAGAAGTAACGTTAGTAGTAGTAGTAGAAGTAGTCGACAGGTGTATTGGAAGTAAGAAAGATTTGGACAAATGGAGGCCCACGCGTATTATTTAGCACAAGAGCTGGCAGAAAGTGTCGACCACAACAAAGATGTCAATCAAAACTTTGATTTGTGCAAAATCTCAAAGTACATATACATATTTTGCAAACATAATTTGTAATATGGTTAGTTTGCTTTCCATGTAGAGGGAACTAGATGTCTGTGTGTTGTTTATATGCTCTGATAATGCAAATCCAACACATTTTTGTAGTAGCACCCATGTTGATTCCACATTTCGACTTAAGAGCACATGAACAGACACTGAAGTCGGAAGAACGACTTCACAACTCAGGAAATGGGACCATCCGAGGAGCGTGTGAATGCACCATGAGTCACTGGTTGCAATTTACAACCCTTAACACTAGATGCCACTAAAACTTACACACTGAACCTTTAAAATATGAAATGTTAATTAACATTATTTTGCAGTCATGTTTAAGGTGACCTGATGAGCTTTAGTCCAGTATTCTCTCTACTTAAACATAGTAGAGCATAAAGATGCTCCACTATGTTTACGAGCTAGTCGCTAATTGTATCGGTCCGGTGTGGTGCTGGACTGGTAGCTTACAGTGGGTTTTTCACTAAAAATAGCTCCCTGTTGCTGCTGGAAATGGAAGTAGATGAGTGGTGACACTGAACCAAAACAGGAAAGTCATGGGCCGTAAAACCAAAACAGTGAGCTGAAAGACTTTCTCAGTAGCACTGAGGGGTACTGTAGAGTTGGGTTTTTAATTGACGTAATTAACGTGGAGCCAATCACTCTCCCTCTCTGTCTACGCCCCCTCAACAGTGTGGCAAGTCACCACCAGCAGAACCTGATGACTGTTGCCAATCTGGGTGTGGTCTTTGGACCAACTCTGCTCCGCCCACAGGAGGAGACGGTGGCAGCCATAATGGACATCAAGTTCCAGAACATTGTTGTAGAGATCCTCATAGAGCATCACGAGAGGGTAAGAGGGTGTGAGTGTGTATGTAAATAAATGAATAACACAAACAGCAGAGTTTGGTTATGAAGGACTGATCCTGACAATTTCAGAACTAAAAACAAAAATAAATGCTCCATAAATATGTATATCTCTTTTAATTAGCATCTTTATTTATTCAATTATTTGTATTAATTACATTATTTATTTATTGTCCTTTATAATCTTCAACTTTATTAATTACTTATTTTTAAAATGTATTTGTGTTTTAATATTTTTATCTGTTTAATTCTTCCTTTGCATTTCTACCCTATAAACACACCTAACAAGTTATATCTGCCTGAGCACCTGCTATACACACTCACTCACTCACACACAGAAAATAACTGTATATACACTTCAAAGCCACTTTCCTAGTGATCCAAGATCCAGGCAGCTTATTGGCAGGCAAAGCTGTTTATAGATGTCACCATGGCAACAGACAAATCATCATGACCATTTAAGCCCCTTGCATTGTGTACACACACTGTGTGTTCAGCTTGTGAAGGAAACAGACAACCAGACACACAGACAAATAACACATATGCTACACCTGTGTGCATGAATGGATTGTTACCCACAGACAGGATAAGTGGGAATTGAAAGAATGACACACTCACCATTAGCTAAGGGTAGGAATCTTTTGGCACCTCGCAATTCGATTCGATTATGATTCAGAGGGCTGCGATGCGATTATGAAACGATTATTGATGCAACTTATTTCCCTATGTAATTTCTGAATAATAATAATTGCTTAAAAGGACAAGTTTGCGTCCTTAATTTAATTTACTTTTATAGTCTTCTGAAAAATGAATTATAATTTCACTGTATGTAACATACAGTAGGCTTATATGTACAGGACACAGCTGTACACCAGTTTAGTCTTTGCTTCCCAACCCTGGTAGGTAGGTAGTAATGACACGCAGCTAATTAACACTACTTTGTTACTAATTTAACTAATGTTAACTTAGATAGCAGCCAAAAAACAGTTGGGAAAACAGACTTTTATTAATGGTCACACTGTGACCTACACGTACATTTACTGCCAGGCTGATAACTTACTAAGTAACCGTTAACTTTCATCGTCACTTTCAGCAGCTCACTCTCTCTCATTCGCTCTCCCACTCACTCTATGCACACACAGGAAACCAGCGGTGAGTGTTACCCACTGTATAAACGTGTTACGTGTTGAAAATCAGTAGCTGCACATATTAATTAGCTTGTAAAATTTAAGTAGCAGCTGTCATACGTTATCAGCTAACAGTTAGATAATCGGTTTTTGACATTTATTAATCTATTCAGAATCTTTCATGTCCACATTGCGATGCATCTAAGAATCATTTTTTTCTCCCATCCCTACCGTTAGCCCTCTCCATCCTCCACACTTAACAGATAACAGCTGTCTATTGCAGTGTGCAAAAACAAAACAAACTGGGAATAAATACTGAGATAGATAGATTGGCTCTGAAAGATCTCATCCCAGTCCTTTTGTCACTGCCTTCCACTGTGCAGCTGCAGAATAACGGCAGTCTGAATTTGACATATCTGCTCTCCCTCCACAACTAAAAACATACATAGGTCAATAATGTTCATTTTGTTTGCTGTTTTCAGCATGAAGCTTGTGTGAAGTGAAGATGATATTTTAAGATTTCTAATTTCTAATAAATCCAGTGTGTTTTTAAATCGGTTCTCCAGCCCTCCAATTAGTCCCTCCCCTTTTCCTTTTAGAAAGGAGCTATGCGTGTGAAGCTGGGCAAAAAGCAGAAAAAAAGGCTATGACAGATGGATGGATATGGGCATAATGACGTTTGATTTTGGCTAAAATAAAATACTAATACAAGCAGAGAAGCATTAAGCCTGGAGTGGAAACAAGTATCAAGTATTGAGATACGTAAATGGCGAGGCTGAAAAAAACTAGAGTCACAGTGCATAAAATACTTTCATCACAGCATGGGATCTTCTGAATCTTGCCTAATTTTGCTTCATTTCAGCAATGTCATGATCAGTGCCACAAATCATAGACTGAAGACCACAATGTACCCTGTTGTTAAGTTTCTGCATGTAATTATTCCCTGTTTAAAGAAGTTTTAGACACAGCAGCAAACAGCTTTGTTGCCATGTTGAGCTGAGTCGAAGCTGCTAAGTTTGCTATTCATTAGCATGAATCATATTAAATATGCTGTATTAGCACACACTTAGACCATCTCTCTTTATGACAGAGAGCAAGGAGGCAAGAATTGTTAACTAACTCGCACTTGTCTGTCTTGTTGGTGCAGATATTCAGGGACGTGCCGAATTCTGCAGGCGGGTCGACCAACATGCAGCTTAACCTGTCCAGGAGGAGAAGCACCGACAGCAAAGCCCCGTCCTGCAGCGAGAGGCCTCTCACGCTCTTCCACACACCAACACATTCCCAGAAAGGTGAGCTTACCACCTATTTTGCCTAATAATAAAAACAATAAAATGTGCTGATTGCTTGTTTTCTTCCCCTTAGTTTTCATTTGAGCTGACTCACAACTGCTATGTGTTGCCATATATGATAAACAACAGGTTACCAGTGGTCAGTTTTGCTTCGAGTTGGTGTTGGAGCTTATAAAGAGTGCAGTGGTTAACAGATGTATTGTTTGTGACTGAAAACACCAAAGAGTTTATAAATCATTCTTGATTCTTGTAGGTGAAAAAAGGAACAGTGTGGTCAGCACCACAGTTGGCGAGGTGCAGCTGCTGGTTTCCTCCTCTGCCAACTGTAACAGCAGCAGCAGTAGCAACAGCAGCAGCCAAGGTCGAACCCCGAGACACAGCCTGACCAGCAACGACGGAGAGCAGGACACCCGACAGATCCGGCCCAGCTCACTGTGAGTGGGACAGAGCGATTCTCATAATATGAAACTGAAGTCAACCTGTGTAGTTCCTCATAGATACTGCAGGCCTATTATTTACAGAATCAAACAGTATATGATTGAATCTTAATATTTTTTTAATATAGTAATAATAATTTAGCAGTGTTTATTTTGAATAATAAAAAAACTGGTCAAGAAGGTTTTGAACCATTTGTATGTACAAAGTTACGTACATGCACACATGTGCAATCACTAACTTAAAAAAATACTCACAAACACATGGGTTCAAGAATGTACACACCTCTTAATGCACACAATAATTCGTAGACTGTTTAAATACCAAAAGCATCTGGGGCACATTTGCAGAAAGGAATTGAACTCCAGCTGCTCAAAACAATAGAAGGCTGTGTCTACTTCCCCTGAATGAGGGATTTAAAAAAAATAAAAACTACACAAAATCCCTCTCACGTGCATGCACACAGAAATACATACACAGAAATACATACAATACATCAGCATAATTGGGTCAAATACGTGTTTAATATTACTAACTGTAAAAAGGACCTGGCACGTATCTCAGATTTAATTTAAACATTGTGCCCGCTTGTCAGGCTGTCTCACTATCCGAGCAGCAATTTACTCAACTGAAACCAATTTAAATAAAAATATTTTAACAGTTCTAAACAAGTGCATCTCCCTGTGAGAAGCACCGTATATCTTCACATAAACACACCAACATCTGAAGGTTATTAATAGAGCCTGACCGATATGGGTTTTTGGCCGCCGATGCCGATATTAAACTGAAAAAGAGCTGATTTATAAGCCGATATTTTGATTCTTCCTGTCCAAACTACACTTAGAACAGGCCGTTATTGAAAGCTGTTCTGTATGTGGGCTATTATACCTTTTCCTAAATGGATTGTGTTAATATAATAGATTACGGTCTCAACAACTTAACATGTAAACAATTGCACATCAATAAATATTTGCTGCAGGAAGGTGCAACTGTAAACAGAGAATAAGCATAGGTGTATTTTACCTTACACATAATCTGTGTGTAATAACTACATTCAATGTAGCATAGCATCTAGTTTATCCCTGTACCAGCACACTTTAATAATATCCAAAGCTACGAAAAACCATTTCTCAACCACCAGCTGGCTCAAAAACATACAGTCTACGATAGAGTGAGCTGCTGTTGAATGCATTTAATACTACATGACTGCCTACGAGGAATTGCAACACTTATATTTATATTTTTCATTTATATATTGGTATATTGGTCAGGCTCTAGTTATTAACGGGTCTAAACACACACGCTTGCATAGGCAATTCACAACGACATGAGGCTGAGCACGCACACATGGCACACGTAGTACTCGTACACACGCGCGCACACGCACACACACAGTATCTTGATCTGCCTGTCCATCATCATGGTATCATCTGTTCCATCATTTTGTTTCCTCAAGCCACTTTAGTGTTGACACACACCTGACCCAGTGAAGATATGTACTACTAATCATCTCATAGACTGACACACCAATGACAGACCTTCAAGTACGGCCTGTCATCAAGATGATTTCACTTCTCTCCTTCTGTCTTCCCACTGCCACCTCCACTCCTTCTCCTTTACTCGATCATCTTCATGCTTTTTTCACTCACAGATAGTTGGTACATCCAACTTTTGTTTATTTACTCAAAAGGTATGACTTCTGTGTAGGGGTCGACCGATATGTTTTTTTTTTTCGGGCCGATCCCAATTATTAGTAACCAGTTAGACCGATCACCGATATGTGGAACCGATAAACATTTGCTTTAAATCTTTTAATCTTGGTGTCAAAATTTAGAATAACACAAACTCCAACACAAACCATTGTTGAAAACAACAAGATTAAATTTTATTGTCATTTTAATCTTTATAAATAGTAAATTAAATGAATTAGAGATCCATCCATCCCAGAGATGGACTTGTTAACTCTGAGTGCTAAATTATTTTATATTGTTAGGATTTTATTGATACTATTTATTGATACTATTTATTGGTTCTGTTCTTTATCTATACTGTTATTGGTTTTTCATTACTAAATAATTGCCTTTTAAAAATATGTTATTTAAAAAAGAATATATTAAGAACAGTAATCAAATTTAATATTATGTTATAACTTACTGTTTTCAGAGCAGCAACAAAAGTAAAGTTTACAGCAGCAAAGTAACAATATAAAATCAATATCTCACTGGAAACAAATGGAACATGTTAAACAAACTATATTCCTGACATCAAAATACTGAGTGCAGTTTAGATTGAAGACAGCAGCCCGTCCTCCTCCTCCTCCCTCTGCAGCTGAGTTTGCAAGGATTTACTACATTTTAAGGTACATAACATCTCAGCTAAACAGGCTACAGACTGAGAGATTTAGCTTGTTTATAACAAGCTATTAGCCGAGCTAGCACATGTGCTTGTGTAAAACCAAGACAGCTGCGGTGGATGGGACAGAGCAGATTAAAATATCGCTTGGTGCATGTTCCTGCTTGTTATACTGATGCAGTATCAGCCTTTTATTAGTACTGCTGGTTTTGCTGTACTTACTTACAGTAACGGGCGTAGTTATGGTATGGTTGTGTAATCTACACTCTGCTAGCTCCGCTCCACTTGTGTGTGCATGCATAGCTCTGGTGAGACAGGAGAGGAGGGGCTGCAGCGTGGTGGCCCGCTTGTTCTGTTGGCTACTTCTGCACAATAGTCAGTGTTGATAAGCTTGTGACTTGTAACCAATCAGCTAGTACTGTGGGCGGTACATTGTACTCAATACTCCGTATTGAAGCTTATAAGCTTATATGCATATTTCCCTATGCCCTTTCTCCTCTTAAGGCGGTGCTTGTATGGACAGAGTGCTGTCAAGTGTTTTATTGTATGTACACGTGTGTGTGATCAGAGCGGAATATATTTCCCTTCATTAACTCTGCACCAGCCAATTACGCCGTTAGCATTTTGCAATTTGTAAAATGGACTTGGACTTGGATTATGGCTTCATTTAATTTTAATGCACTAAAAAAGTGAAGTGTGTGTGGTCAGACCTGTCCCAGCTCAGTGTGAACGGACACACAGCAGAAGATTTTATTTTAGATTTAAAGATGGAGCAGTTGGGTGATTTTCAGCTACTCCACAACCAGCCACAATGAAAACACAATACATTTCCAAACATTTATGCCTAGAGTAGTCAGTTAAGTGTGAATCTCAAAGGAGCTGCCAAGGTATATATTATGAGATTCTGAAGATCGTGCCAGGTTGTTTACTTAAAGCAACAGTCCCACATTGTGGGAGATAATGTTCAGACACATAATTAGAAAATCTGAAGATGTTCTTTCTGGTGCACAATGGGCATGTTGTCCTTGAAATCTTTAACTAAAGTATAAATACAGGATAGTAGACAGGATAATTTTATATTTTATTGAATTAGATGATATGTGGCTCTTTGAATTGCTGCACATTATGTAACTCCCTCTAATTTACACCTTAAATCTAGCAGAAATCAAGAAGATGGGTTACAGGGGATCCAATAAATTAAAATTGGAAGCTCTGATCTAAATTTACTCACAGGTCAGGAGGCAATCTAGACATGCTGGTCACAGATTATTGGAAATAACCTCAAATGTTGAAACATGCTTTGAATACATGATCACACACACACAAACCCTCTGCGATAACAGAGAAGATTTAGTTTGACCAAAAACCACGATGTCCAGTTCAGCATTGAAAATGAGAGGAAAATGACCACATACCATCCATAAATAGTCATAATACTTGGCAGTACACAGTTTCAGTTTTCTAGAGATATTCTGAAATGCACATGGAGCCTAAACATCAGTTCACATGGAGGTTTAAGTTCAAGCACGAGTTAAACTGAGGTCAAGATCCAAGAATGGCAGCTCTTTTGATAATTTAGATCATTAGAAACTCAACATCAATTCTCATTAAGAACTTACTGAAACAACAACTATAATGAAATTGAATCAGCTGAATCTGTAACATTTAATTTGGGAAAGAGAGATAACTCAATAAAGAGAGGGAAAAAGCCAAAAAGCATAATACCACCTCTTTAAATTAACTGATTGGTTAGATTCTCTGATTGGTGTAGCATGTCCTGACATATTGATCATACGCTTAAACATTAATATTTATAGCGTGTTAACGAACTAAGCAGCCTAGAAGCAGCGAAAACGGGTGACCCGGCAGGAAGAGGTTTTATACATCCAAAGAACTTCTGTAAAAACCAGACCAGGTGTTTAATCAAGGCCTGCGTTTATTTGTCAAAATGTGTTCCTACACCAGGCCAGTAATTTATGGTAATTCTTCTTCCACAGTCTTTGGTTACAAACTGTGGGTGTGAAATTTGAAAGAGATGGATGTTAACAGAGAGGGAGGGTTTAACAAGCTGTTGAGTTGTTGTTGTTGCATTATGGGTAGTGTAGTATCAAATGTTTTTGCAGCACCGCTCATACTAGGAGCTAAAAGTCAGGATATCTTGGCCACTGTTGCTTCCCTTCTGTATTTTGCAAGTCCCCTAACAAACTTTAATGTATTAGTGCTGTAATGGAAGTGCAAATACTAAATTGTTGGCGTACCCATTTAAATACCTGTTTAATATGAGATGTTAAGGATCAGTAGTTCTCATTTGAAGACATAGGCTTTTCCAATAGCATGCCCAAGATATGATGTAATATAGCCGATTTACAGCATAAAATGCCTCCATTTTTTTAACAATCAGCAAACAGAGTCTGTCTGGGGTAAATTGACTTGGATCCTTGCCCAGACAATGTTTTCTCAGTCCCAGAGCCAAACATCATGAATTTCCAAGAAAGCCAGCCTCCACCTTCATCACAGATACGAGAGAGGTACAAAGGTCAGAAGTTAACAACTGGGCCTTCAAAAGCCCTGCATTCCCCTGAGGCAGAGGTTATTTTCAGTTTTGCCACCTTGACTGCTAGTCGAGGTTTTTTCTTCTTACAGTTTG